GCGTTAGCCCACGCCAGGCCCGCCAGGTGCTGGATCTGAGCGAAAAGAGGAGGGTTTGGGGACCCCCTCGGGTTCGGTCCCGGCCCTGAACCCCCCGGAGCTGCCCGAGGCCGCCTTGAGCCCAGACCCAGCCGGGCCCGGGCGAGGGTCCTGGGGGTAGGCACGGCCGGCCTGGAGCGGGGCTCGGCGGGATGAGGGGTTCACAGGGGCTGCTGCCAGAGAAAAGCACCCCGCACCCAGGAGCAGCAGGGACAGACCTCTCCTCTCCACCCGCACCCCGCAGAAAGCCTTAATTGAACCTCATTAGTGAGACGCCCGGGCTCACGGGCACAGCCCTGCCCTGGGGACCACAGAGAAATCACCGATGCCATCCGCAAGGCAACAAGGCAGGTTCTCCAGGGCCATCGGAGGAGGGATTTGATGGTTTGGAGCAGGAGGAGGGGGGATTTGAGCGGTTAGTGCCCCCCTGAGAAGGAAAAATATCGAAAGGGGCATTTCTCACCCAAATCTTCCACTCAAAGTATTGTTCAGGAGACCGAGAACACAAACCATGTCCCTCTCCCTTGCCAAAGAGATGTCCATCCCCTCCGGGGGATGCTGACCACCTGTGGGCAGTCCCCGGGCCAGGGACCCTCCCGCCATCGGGCCGGTCCCGTCCCAGCTCCGGCCGGTCCCCGCCGCCCCCCCCGCCCTGCTCCCGAGAGCGGCAGATAACAATTATTGTATCTTATCTTAATTGTCTCGGATTTATTCTGCAGCTCGGAGATAGCCCGGTGCTTGTAACTCATTAAAAGGATTCCTGCTGCCTTTCTTTGGATTCTCAAACTCTGAAGCATTTTTCCACAGACTGTTTTATTTTCCCTCTTCAGTTTTTAGCCCCAAATATAGCTGGGCAGGCTATGATCTAACCAAGACACATGTCGGGGCTATAAATTTCGCTGACAATTTCTAGGGACAAGTCCTTTTTGGTGATAACGAAGTTCGCAGCCAAACACGCCCCTCCAGCCTCAGCAGTGCTTCTTATAAATCACCCCTCCAGGAGCCAAAAGTGACATTTCTTACGCACGACACAAACTTTCTCTGCAGAGAGTTATATTTAACTTCAAAACGAAGCATCTGAAGCCTCCGAGCGCTCTGGAGCCTTTGGAAAAGGCTTCGTTCCTTCTCTGTCGCCTGCCCAGAAAACTCGTCTGCTAAAGATTTCTTACAAGAGGAGTTCGCACAAACCGCCTTCAGAGAGGCCCTATCCCTCATGTCAGGAGAATTCTTTGAAATCAAACAAACCATCTCTTAGAGAAGGGAGAAATCTCCCCTCGCTCTTCCCTCCAGGCTGCTGCAGCCCCGAGATTCGCGGAGCCGCTTTATGCCGCTAAAAGGGAGCAACGGCTCTCCAGAAAAGGTTTATTTTAATAAGATGTCTTCATCGGGTTGGAACAAAAGGCGTGGCTTTCCCCAGGGGGCCAAAAGTGCTAATTTAGTAGCCAGGAGGTGTGGGTTGCGAGCCGCCGAGCTGCCCCGGGGTCTGCCTTGGGATGGACGGAGGGGCCAAGGGCACGGGATGCCTTTGGTGGGCATGGGGGGTCCCCCGCCACCAGGAGCTCCGCGGAAAAACGATCTTATTCTGCTGGTGACCTCCTCATTTCTTATCTGCTCACCAAATTAAGCCTGGGGTTTAGGGGCGGTAGCTCCTGAAGTGCTTTAGGGCCGGCGTCGGCTCTCGGGGAGTGGGGAAGCAGCTCTGAAAAGAACTGCACCTCAGTGTCTGGGACCAGCAGACAAGGAAGTGATTCCCTCTTTTCCTCTGCCTCCCACCGACCAGCCCGCCACGCTCCGGGACGGCAGAGTTTCTATTTTTCCAGGAATCAAAGAGCTGAAAATGCCCCGCTCACCCTCCAGCCTCACCCATCTCCAGAGATTTCGTTTCAATCCCGTTGGATGAGGGGCAGCAGCATCCCCCGAACGGTGCCGTCTGTGGGTCGGGGGGTAGGAATAATTACTGTGTCCCTCAGTACATAAGTGCCAATCAGGTAATAAACATAATGAAAGGCTAAGTAACTCTTTAGGGGGGATATAGGTCAAAGCTCTGATAGTTTGAGAATCTCCACCTACACCTTTCCTTTCACCGCCTTCCCCCTCTCAGCTCCCCACAAAGGAGGTTTTACGGGAATGAACGAGTAAATGTTAGGATGAGGCTCACCCGGGCACTGGTCCTTAACAATCATCTGGTATTTCTTTCTCCCGCGGGTTGTGAAGGGCTGTACCCAAACTGGGTCTCACATCTTCTCCACAAGGGGAGTTAAAATCAATAATAATAACAGCAGTGATTTGATATCGGATCCAGGGCAAGGGGCTAAGCGGGAAATTTGGAGAAGCCATTCCTAAGCCATTCCCGGAGCGCCTGCGTGCACGTTGGCGCTGTGGCTTTCGAAAATACCGCGCAGTCAGTATGCAAAGCCATGCATTTTGGGGAAGACCATGCCATTTTGGGGAAGTAAGCCGGGGCTGGAGGGCAGAGCGGGCTGAAGCGCCGTTACCCCGCTCGCCCTGCCCGGGGCCATCAGCCTGGCAGCTCCGGGGAGGGGGCGGCCAGGGGAGCCCCGGGGGGGCCAGCACACCCCGAAATTTCCCTGGAGTTGTGCCTGGGCGCCCACAGCAGGTAAGGAGTGAGAGGCTTGCGAGGGGAGCAGCTGGCGAGCGGCCCCGCCATGCCCGTGGGCAGGGAGCAGGAAAAGCGGCTCCAACACCCCAACTTTCGTGACCTGACAGTTCCCCCAACAGAGGGACAAAAAAAGCCTTTGCCAAAGTGACTTCACCTCCGCAAATCCTCTCCTCGGCTCTATCTTCACTTTCACACACCCATCTCACCGGTACCTTCACTTTCCCCCAAAAGCCGGGTTGGAGTGGCTCCCAGGAGCCCGAGGACCACATTCGGGATGGTTCCTGCTAAAATTTTGATCCCTTCTTGTCCGATTTTAACATCTACCAAAGAAATTCCGTGCTTTCACCCCAGGGCTGCTTTTAGGTCTAAACTTTGGTTTAGTCTTCGCTGAAAGGAGACGCACAGCAAAACCTTTCCCTCCCTAACTCCGCAGCAGTGAGCGCTCTCGGAGCTCTGAAACTCCAGAAGACAGCTGTATTTTAATGACAGAAAGCATCCCTTAATGTAACAGTGGAGTGAGATCACAGTGGAAAATTATCAGACAACACGAAACAATTGATTCGAGGGTGAAATAAACATCTATCCTTTTCTTTTTTTCATTTTACACCCATAAATCATCTATTGTAGGCATCGTTTAAATATAATACATTCAATTTAAACGCGAGTGCAACATAATATAAAAAGCACTCCTGGAATCAAATTAGAAACCGATTTCTCTTGCAGAGGGAATGACACGAGAGTTGCTTTGAATCTTTATAATCACTTTCGGTTGTTTTATGCAAAAAAAAAAAAAAAGAGGTAGAGAGTTTCAGAGAACATTTGTAACCTAAAAGATTTCCTTCTTGAATATCTCAGCATCAGCAAAGTCGGCAGAATAAATGAATAAATAGGCACGAAGCTCTGGAAATAGTTTTCTCCTTATACTTTTTATTGAAGGGAGAGAGTTGCAATTGGCTAAAACTCACGCTTTCTCTCGGGGGGATTTAAAGGAGGGAGGGAGGTTGATGCCACGGCTGCCTGGGTTGCAGCTTCTCAACAAATGTTACCCCAACGTGTTGCATCAGCCAAAACCTACCAACTGAAGGACGTGTTTATGCCTTTCAAAGTGAACTTTTGGCCTGGGGAAGAGGAAAAAAAAAAAAAAAAAAGAACCCTCCTGGTTCTTCTTAGAGGCTGAATAACCAGTAAATATCTTGACAAATAACAAATGACTGTGGGCGTCAGATTGTTGGGTGCTCTTGTCTCCCTTCTGCTAACAAGTAAATAAATGCTGCCTACCTATGTTTCCATTCTCTCAGCAATGGAGTGGCCGCACTGAAGCCAGTGTCTTTCCACCTACTCATCAGCTGGACTCTGCCAGGGGCGAGCTCCAGAGGGACAACAGATTCGGGGGAAAAAAATCAACCCAGGTTTGCATGGAAAAGAAGAACTTAAAGTTCCAGCATTGGTTAAAGCCTTTAAAACATCTCCTATTTTCAGTAGTAGCTCGGTAGGTGAGAAGATACAAAGACAGACACATGGTTCATTTTTATTTCCGTTCCTCCAACTGCTAAGCTGGGCATGGTCTTTCTCCAACAAAAGACATTTTGTCTTCCTAACTTTATTTCATTGCCTCATTAGAATATTGATTTAATTACATTGCTTTTACCCACACTGGCCCTAGACACAAAGCCGGTGTGGCAAAATTAAAACACACGGAGCGTTATTTTCCTTTGGAGCTTTTATTAAACTCCTCAGCCCAGAAAACGCCAAACTCGTTCAAGCCACTTTCTGGGGCAAAGTTTCAAAATGAAGAAAAGAGCATCCTTTTGTGCTTGAGGGGAAGAGTAGTCAGACCTCCCTACCTCTTCTCACTCTGGCTTTCTTTTTCTCACACGGAGCTAGGATTGGGGAAAACCTTTTTCAGTTGGGGCAAGGGGAAGTTCTGCTGAAATTGGCTAATCGCATAACTTGGGGGCCTTTTTAGCACTTAAAACAGTCATGGATAATTCCAATTCTTCCCCCGGCCCTTCTTCCCCCCCCCCTCTTCCCCGCACCCCACCTCCCTCTTCTCTTTTAAAGTCTTTGAGGAAAGATTTTGACGCATTCGTGTTGTTATCAGATTGATGGGCAGGGTTTGATTGAAACCCCTTTGTCATGCAAATGTCAGGGCCTTGATGGATGAGCTCAGAGATGTGACAAACTTCAGGAGCCCCTCGCTCATTGGGCTGGGGGCGGACCACGTGGCCGCCTCCCCCTGCCCCCACCCCGGCCCCGCCGAGGGCTGCGGGGCTCGAGGGCCAGCGATGCATGGAAGGAAGTTTTACAGCTTTGACATACTATCTAAAGGTTGTAGGGCAGGCGGAATCCCCCCCAAAACAGGCTGACCCTCCTCCATCAGTGGCAGATGGACAATACTAGGATGAACTCCTTCTTAGAGTATGCAATTTGTAACCGTGGGACGGGCGCCTACCACCATTTAGAGCAAAGCTCCCCTTCCTTCCCCTCCTGCTCAGGTAGCCCCGCCACTGACACTTTGAACGGGGACGGGCGCTTTGGCGTGGGGGGGAGCGCGGCCGCCCCTCTCCCCCCGCAGAGCCCCGGCTTCCACCCTCCCTCCTCCGGCCGCCCCATCCCTTTCGCGGGCGCTGCCCCGACGGCCGGGTACCCGGCCCCAACCTGCAGCCCCGGCTACGGCCACCACCAGCTCTACCTCGGCCAGCAGGACGCGGATGGCTTGTACTTCCAAGCGGCCGGCTACCCCGCCAGCGCCGGCTCCAACCTCAGCCCCTTGGCAGAGGGCTACTGCGGGCCCGCCGGGGGCCAGTACCAGCAGCAGCACCTTTACGGGCAGGAGCAGCCCAGTTACTTGCCCGGCGTTTACAGCAACCTCTCGCCTTCTTTACACGAGGACAAAGACCCTGCGTGCCCCTCCGAGCCGTGCCCCAACGCCAGCGCCACCCAGACCTTCGACTGGATGAAAGTGAAGAGGAACCCCCCCAAGACAGGTGAGTTTGGGGAGCGCAGGGCTGGGCGAGGATGGTCCCCAGCCCGGGGAGGCGAGAGGTGGGGGGCAGCTCCCCAGCCCTGCAAGGAAAGGTTGCCTTCCCCCGGGGCTTGTGCCCAAGGTGACTGGGCTCATCTTCCAGGGGACCATGGATTTGTTTTGCTTTGGATTTTTGGTTCTTTTTTAGACGCCAGCTCAGGCTGCGGAAAAACCAGCTAGAGATTTTCCAGACACATCTGATGGAGGGTCCCTGAGCTCAGTTTCCCTCAGGCCCAGTGCTATTTAAGCCCAGCTGGGAATAGGAAATGCTCTGGGCTTCCTGCTTCTTCCATAGTCGTGGCTTCCATCTCCCCTATTGTTCAACTTCCTTCTCCACAATCTTCCTTAAATCACAACCTTCCCTCCTCCCCCCGTCATCACCTTCGCCCTCCCCTTCCACTCCTTCCCACGCACGTTCAAGTTTCATGGCAGTTTGCAGGAAATGGGGGGAACGGTTGGGAGGGAAGGGCGGGGGGACAGATCTGCAGAGCCCGAGGAGGTCAATATTCCTGGGCTGGGAAGCCGGGGAGAGCTGAGGATCCGGGAGGAAGCACGAAGCTCCGGGAGGTGGAGGGACCAAATGCCCAAGAGAGGAGGGGAGCGGGGGAAAGCCCCCCCTTCCCCGCCCCAGAGAGGGAATTTTTCTGGTTGCTCCTGCCCTTTTGGTGTTTGCTCCTTAAACAGGTAAAGTGTCGGAGTACGGGCTGCTGGGCCAGCCCAACACCATCCGCACCAACTTCACCACCAAGCAGCTGACGGAGCTGGAGAAGGAGTTTCACTTCAACAAGTACCTCACCCGCGCCCGGAGGGTGGAGATCGCCGCCACCCTGGAGCTCAACGAGACCCAGGTCAAGATCTGGTTCCAAAACAGGCGGATGAAGCAGAAGAAAAGGGAAAAGGAAGGTCTCGCCCCGGCCGCCGCCTCCAGACCCACCAAGGAAGCGAGCGAAGCCTCGGACCAGTCCAACTGCACCTCCCCCGAGGCCTCCCCCAGCTCCGTGTCCTCCTGAACCGCGGCCCCGCGGGGGCACAGGGACCAGCCGCTCCCTGCAGACCCCAGCAGACCCCACCCGCACGAACACGCACCTCCCACGCACAGCCCCGGCCGCGCACACGCGTGGGAGCAAGGCCACGCGTCCCTCCGGGCAGTCCCTCGGCTGCGGCCGCCTCCGCCCGTGCGACACCACTTCTCCCACTTGCGTTTCTCTTAATTTATAGACCCTCTGTAAAACACGGGACTCCACAGGAGCGGCCGTGGCCCCGCACACCCTTAGCAATAGGCGTTTGTCTCAGGGACGTTTCTCCCCCTCCCTTCTCCTCCCCTATAGGAACTGCACTTTCGACTACAGAAACTTGAAAACGAATTTAGTTTTCTCCCGTTTTAAAAATGTGCACAACGACTTTTGCCTGCAAGAACCCTACGTTTGGTGTATTTTTTTCCTCCTCGCGAGATTGTAAAAAAAAAAAAAAAAAAAAGAAAGTTGGGGTATTCTTTTTGTTTGTTTCCCTTTTATTTACTGTATGTATATTTGGAATGAGACCCGAGGCGGCCGAGATGCCGGAGGCCTCTGCAAAGACCCAAACACCGAGCAAAAAATGCAACTCTTCCGCTACCATTTTGCACTATTTCTGCTTTACAGGGTTTTCCACACGCTCCGCGACTGTGACTGTTCCTGATCCTGGGGGGAGAGAGGTCTGTGGTATCAGAGAAAAGGAGAGGAGGCGAAGGCTGACCTCGGGGTGCTTTGGGCAACGGTCACTGTCGCGGGAGGTGTGAAGGTGGACGGGGACAAGGCTGCGGGGGGGCCGCGGGGCTTGGCTCCCCCAGGCACTGATGCACTGGCTGCTATTTATTGTACGTCTCGATAGCCCGAAATCTTGGAGCGAAGTAGGACGGTTCCTTGTACCCCCACCCTCTTAGGCTTATCGGAGTCCGATAAAAACATTATTTAACCATGGCTAAATCGTTTCCCTTCCCCACGAGAAACTTTAGGGTAGGACGAGCTGAAAACCACGGCGAGTTTTGTTAAAGATTGTTTTCAAAGGAAAAACGTCATCGAGAAAAACTAGCGGTTTCTTAATCGGAATCTCCTATTTTCCTTCCACTCCCTTCCCCGTGCTCTGTATCTCGAAATGAAACTACCTCAGTCTAATAAAGTTTACTTTTTCCACATGCAAGTCCTCTCGAATCTAAGCGAAATGGAAATCTCTCCCGTCCAGGGAAATGCGCGACACGGGGCGGGGGGACGCCGGGCGCGGAGGGAGGAGGAGGAGGAGGAAGGAAAAGGTCTCCGGCTGATGCCAAAGCTCCCAAACAACACGCCCGATCCCGTTTCCTGTGGGTACCCAGCGGCACCCACCCCCCAGCCCCCCCCCTTGGCACCGGCAGGACCGGGGCCGGGCCTCGCCGCCGCCTCGGGGGCGTTTAGAGCGAGTCGCCCCGACGGGGCCGGGGAGACACGCGGCTCTCCCCGAGTGCGGTTATTTTACAGTGAAACGAGGCCTAATGAGAACAAAAAAAAAATCAGCATCATCCTCCTCAGTGCAGGCATCCCGCACGGAAGCGGATCTCCATCAGTGAGGCGGCAACACGAACTGGAGCGGACCCGGGATGCGGGGAGGGGGCAAAGCGAGTTTCTCATTGACACGGAACAGTTCTGTGAGGCTGATACAAACCCAAACGTGTCACTTCAGTGTCCTCCCTTCAGCTTCCCAAGGCGACCCCTAAAAGGGTGTTTTCCACCGTAAAAGTAACACACAGGACCAGTTCGCGGCCCGGTGCGGTACCGGAGCGCTGGGCGGGGGGGGCAGGGCCGGGCGGGGAGGGAGGAGGCAGCCGGCCCGGGTATAGCTCTGACCTTTTTACCTCGAAACGCCTCTGGGATTTCTAAACAAGTAAACAGAGGGGCTGCCAGGAGAAACTATTGTTCTGGCTTCGTCAAATTTGCAAACCTTTTCGGCGGGGGCGTGAGTGGGGCGAGGAACGAGCGAAGCACCCGCCGGAGCCGGGCACCCTGCCCCGCAGCGCCCCGGCCGCCTCCTCTGAGCTCCCTGGGCCACAGGGCATCGCTCTTCCCCGGCGATACCATCTTCCCCCATCTAATCCACCCCTCTTGCTCGAAAGACAAGATTTTTGAGTGTCCAATTAGCTGAGAGATAAGAAAAAAAAAAAAAAAAAAAAGAGGGGCACAAAGGTGAAAAGAGGGTTTTGTTACACTAGCAAACACCAAGAGAGTGAAAAAAAGCCCCGGGAGCCAGACTGGCTCTATAACCTGTTGGGTGTGAGGTACCTTGGTTTAACCTGTTCATTGAACCAACGCCTTTGTTGAAGCTGCGCGATTTAAACTGTCTCATCGAAACAAGGCGTTGAGCTTCAGAAAGCCCGTGGGTTTCCACCGAGACGGTGTTGGCCCCCGGTTGTGTCTCCGGTGCCTGCTCTGCTCCCCGGTTGCCGGGGCTGGGGCCGGACCCCGCCGGGTACCGGGAGAGGGGGGCAGCGCCGGGCGGCCCCGCAAGAACCGGGGGAGAGCGGAAAGGCCGGGACAAAAAGGAGGGCAGTGGTGTGTCGGTGTGTCGGGCACAACAAAGGCTGCCAGCTCCCATTTGAAACTCAAAGGGAGTCTCCGGAAGAGTCAGCAGAGCCGGTGCCGATGCGCCCTTACATATGTAACCCCCCCCGGGCTCCCCCCTCGCCCCTTCCCGTTGCCCCCCTCGCTGCCCAGCCGGGTTTCTCTCACAGCCAGCACCGCACACAGATAATCTCTTTTCCCCCTCCAAGTTTCTCACGCTCCCTTTTGTTCCAGGAGCCCCAAACCCACCGCTGGGAAGCAGGGCGGGCTGGAGAGGCCACGCCAGGACACCAGGACACCCGCGGCTGGGGGTCCCCCGGCTGGACCAGCTGCTCCTGTGAGGCGCTGAGGGACCCCCGCGCCCGCCCCGCACCCAGAGAAGCAGATAAAGAGCTGGCACTGGTACTTCGGTACCCACGCAGGTCCCTATGGATCCACACGGGACAGGAATGCGTGCTCCTTCCCACGGGACATCAGTGTAGCCACAGCAAGAGGCTCACACCAGGCCCCACAGACCTGCACCCAAAAGCCCCTGTCGTGACTCAGCCCGATCGCCGTCCTCGGGCTTTATCACAAATATGAGGTCTACACACACTCCTTTGTTTTACAGAAATGATACATCCCCATGTGACTATTTATAATCCGGTATAGTCCCGTATCTCTGTGTGGGTCTGTCCGTGGGTCCCTGGTATTGCATTTTTCATGAGCAGGAAAATTAGCCAAGTGCCCCTGTACACTCGCACACAAAGCCATGTCTTAATGGAGATTTATTCTTTTAATATCCCAAAGGAAGGGGAAATTCCCAGTTAAAGAAACGTAACTGTGTAAATTATTAATGGCAGTCACCGTGTTGGAGCTGCTGTCCCTCTGTGGGAGGAGGGGACGGGGACGGATGCCCAGAGTCCCTCTCCTCTGGCTCTGCTCCCGGAGCGGGGACCCAGGAGCACACCCGGGGCAGCTACTCCAGGGCCATCTGTTCCTTACCCCTTGGTGTGAAATGTTTCTCCTCTTCCTAAAGCATTTGTTCTCACAATGTGAGGCCCTTTTGATCTCAGAAGAGGACATTCTATTAAAAAATAATAATAATAATACCACTGAAGACTTCCTTACTTTCAACTCCACTTTGGTGGCTGCTATTAACTCTGCTCCCAGAGCCTCTTTGCACTGAAGGTGTGAAGCGTTCCTGGGGGGCTCCGTCTGGGACAACCCCCCCCCCCTCAGTGACCGTGCTGTGGCTGGGTTGGGCTATTGCCGCCCCCTAAAAGCCTTTGATGCCTTGAAGTGGAGGAGAAGAGGCGAGGAAGCCTTCTGGTTTTCTCCAAACTTGCTTCACAGAGAAAAATTAGTCAGGGGCCCCCCGTTCCCCAGCAGAAAACCAGAGCAGGATGAGGGCGAGATGTTTTCATCTCACAATGAGTAAGTCAACTGCAACAGAGTTTGATCCACCTTCTGTGAGTGGCACCAAGGCAGCAAGGTGTCCATGCACCTGCTTACGCGCTGACATTGCCAAGGGAGTTGGTAAACTCTAACACAGGTAAGCCAGGAGGGATTTGCCTGCTAAGTAAAACTCAATATTTTGACATGAATACATTTTTAGGTGTCACTAAAATCCCTGGAGAACCAGGAAAAAGACCTGCAGCTGTGGGAAGCACTGGGCAGGAGAGCCTGCACGCCCAAAGGCCTTCCCCATCCCAGGGACTTCCCCTGCCCCACAGCCCCAGCATCATGGTCAGGCTGAGAGCTGGGCATATGTGTGCTTATATGATATATATTTATAAACAATATATTTCACTTGTATTTGTATCAAATATATAGTATATTTATTTTTCAGGATTAATGCTACATAGGTCACCTGGATTTAAGTCGAGGACCTTGGATCTGCTGTCTCATGTCTGACCCCAGGTGTAACACTCCCTGCTCACTGCACTGAAAGGGCCACCCCACGGTGCCGTCCCCTTGCTCACCCCACTGCCCCACAGCCATTCGCTTCCACCAACACAGATATTTCAGCTTCAGGGTTATTTTAGCCTCTCAGGCAGGTGAAATGAGGTCTGGGGCAAAGGGCTCGGGTGGAAGGAACAATTGCAGAAGTGAGTGTACAAAATGTTTCCTTGCTCTTCAGAGGCCTCACCTATCCTTTCAGTTTACACTGGTCTGACAGCTCCATTTTAACCCCAGCCTTCACATGGACTTGTTCAATATTTACTCAGGCTGATGGGTTTGCTCAGAACTTGCCTCCATCAGCCTTGCTCTGTTGGGTTCCCTTCCCCTCGGGCCCAGGTTCACACAAAGTTCAGCCTGAAATGAATTCACCCAAAGATGGGCCCAGCTTGGCCTGAGGACCAGAGATGGGGTCAAGCCTGGGTCTCTGCATCCCAGCCAGCCCTCACGAAGGCCAGCACTCAGCACTCCCGGCCAGGAGGCTGCTTTGAAAAATTATTTGGGGTTAAAAAAGAAAAAACGCTGGGCCAGGGAGGACACACCAAGAGAGGCAGGAGCTGCTTGTCAGTGCAGAGAGCACAGGTCAGCCCTTCTGGGAGGGGAGATAGTTCATGGACGTCTGCTCTGCCCAGGGGGCCTGTGTGACAAGGTACAACCCTGCAAACCCACTACAATCATAAAAACTACAGCAGGGGGGGAAAGGGAGATATATATATATATAAAGCATGTATTTATATGAAGTATAAAATGAACACATATATATTACATATTATATATATCAATATTTTTATATATCTGACTGCAAGGGATTAAAACCTAAAATAAGTGAAACGAAGGCTGAATTGTTTCTGCCTGAAGCCATGATAGAGGAGATGGCTTTAGGTAACAGCAAGCTGAAATCCGCCTCAGCAGAAATAACGAAAGACTTTTCTGTCAGAAGAGCAAACCAAAATTTGATACAAACCAGAAATATTGCAAAGGGGCTTATTGCAAAACCCGTACATGTTGCCATTAGCAAAGAAAGAAGGCAGAACCACGAGGCAAATCCAAAGCGGCTCCAAAGGAAATAACAACGTGGGGCACCTCTGAGAGGTGACTGAGGGAACAGGGGTGGGCTGGGGACGGTCCCGGAGACCTGAGATGTCTCAGGGATGCGGTGGGAGCCGTATCTGCCCCACTCCGGGGCCCTGGGTCTCCGGTAAAGGCGGAGATACTTTTTTTGGGGGGGACCCGCTGTGTTTTTGGGGGCTTGGCAAAATGTCCCTGCGAGTTTCCAGAGGGTTTGGGGTCAGAGCTCGGAGCAGGAGCTCCTACCTGAGAGCTGAAGGGTCCCGGGGAGGGCAGGGTTTGTCCCCAGGGCCCGCGGCAAGAACTTCTCTTTGAAGCCTCGCGGAATATTCGCACCCTTTTAACACCTTGGCAGAGCATCTCTGAGGACCAGGGGAATCCCAGGTCTGTATCGCAGCCTACAGCCCCTTCACACAGGATTGCCTAAGAACCGCGTGTAAATTATGTCTTAAAATCAGACCCGAGGAAGGTGAGCTCCCTGTTAGTGGCTGTAAAGCTAATCCCATAAGATTTAACGGATTTGTTAATGGCTACAAAATTCTGGAGGTTATCACAGTCCCTGTTGATTAAACAACCTGGTGAAGTGGCAAAACATAAGCG